AAAAAAAAAAACATAAAAATTTTTACGTTGCATAGGTAGGTACTTCTGGTGTTAGTACTTCATCATTTAATGGACAGAGATAATTTTTTATTTCCATCTTGTGTTGTGTTGTGAATTAAAATCCCACTGACTGGTTTCTGTTCATTGTTGATCACAATAATTTTTGGCGAAACATCCACAGCTTGGCGATCACTTTCCCAGTTTTTTCTCTTGTGTCGTCCGTTCCACTTGAAGCTCCCGGTCGTTGGTTTTGACTTCTTTCGCGACGATTACCTCTGCAGGTGTAGCTAAATTTTTTAACGGCCAATTGACCTTAAAGCATACTCAATATATGATCAATACTAGACTATTTACAATTGATGAAGATTGGAAAAAAAAAATTAGAATTAAGAATATACGTTCCTTACTTCTTGATGTGTAGTTATGAACTCAGGCGGCGGCGAAGGGTTCGATGGTATATTCGGGAACATACTCTAAATTAAAACAGAATCCGTGTTAAATAATATCAAAGCAAGGGCTTATTTGAAGGAGGGGCGAAGGGGGCATTTGTCCCCCCCCTGGCTCGTTTTTTTTTTTTTTTTTTTTTAATATAATACATTGATTTATTTAAAAAATGTAATGTATAAATAATTAAGAATATAAATCACTGGTCTATCATTATAACAGGAACATGCAGTGGCGGATTTAATGGTCGTTTAATCGGCAGATGCCGATGGGGCCTCTTCCTAAATTGTTTACTAAGGCCCAAAAAAAATTGTAGTTAATTTTTTTTAAATTTTACCACAAAAAAAAAATTATAATACAAACTGTATCGTTTACAAGCAGTTTTGTAAAACGGGGCTAAGAATGTTAGTGATACATTTATTACGAGGTCCCTCTTTTGGATTTGTCGACTTCATTTGAATTTTTAAATCCGCTACTGGGAACATAAGCTGTAGGTAATGAAATGTAAATTATTTTTAAGTTTGTATCGAAGAAAAATTAGTTTCGCCTCCCCCCCATGGTCTCAACTCAAATACGCCCTTGTACCAAAGCTTGTAGTTGTACTACGGACAGTCCCGATCTGAATCTAAGGAGACCTATGTTCAAATACTAATTGGATGCCATTTAAAACAATTTGCGAAACATAACACTTTTATATTTGTTTAATACAATTCGATATATTAAATAACTAGAAAAAAAAAAATAATAACCGAAATTCAAGTACCACGATTAATGGGTAAATTTAAAATAACGAAACGGACAGTTTTAGATATTGGTTTAGAGGTTTTTCGAGCTTGAGGTTCCGGTACATAGCGCCCCCGTTAAATCCAGCACTAACTACGGAGCAGCAGTCTTAGTAAACATATCATATATGAAATACAACGTTTTCAGGGGCAAGTACGAGCACCTATCCAAATTGTACATATAAAAGTGCATATTACGGTGACATTGAAAAAAAAAAAAAACAATTTTTCTTTTTTATACAATCCGATGAGAACACCAGGTCGGTAGTGTATTAGGTATGCGCCAAATGTTTGACGTACAAACGGGTTTCGGTGGTAAAGAACGCAATAAGATAAACAGAAAACGGCGAACGTCGGTGGTCTACGTGCTAAATGGTAAAAATGATGGTCGGAAGGTGCGTTTCTAGAGAATTATCCGAAACGGATGCGGTTCCGAGTGGTGCGCGGGTCGTCACCGATGACGGGGGGAGGGGGGAGGATGGGCCACTTACTCCGAACACCAGGTCTCCGACGAGCGACGATATGCACAAGACGACGAACAAACTCCACTGACCGACCATGGTTGCGGTGACCCGACGGATGTGGTACGTGTGCCGACGAGGACGTAGCGACGCGATTGACGCGGAAACTCTCGCGAGGAACGCGTCCAATAACGGTGTGTGCACGCCGTCACCGGGGAGAGGGGCGGCCCGAACGGGTTAATTGTGCACGTCGGTTAGACGTGGTCGCGGATGTGCCGTCGGGGGAAAAAAAAATAAATATGCAAAACCGCGACAATGCCATCGGTGTCTATTGTGGGCCGCGCGCGCTCGCGCCGTCTAAACGACGCCAATTGTAACGTGTTCGACCGGTAATTATACGCGCGCGCTCGCGTGTGTTCTCGCGGATTCCGAGCCACGCGTCCCGTCGTCGTTTTTTGTTTTCCACCGGATGATAAATCGACGTCGAACAAACGAACGCGCGCGCTCGCGGCACTTGTTGTTCATCATCATCGAACGTACACGTCTGTGTTTTTGTCTGTACACGCACGTGCGCGACGTGTTGTACGGCGCATAATTTATGTGCATATTATTATATTCGTAGTGTCCAACTGGTTTAACAGCCGGTTATGTCGTTATTGTTATTATAACATCAATACCGATGTACGGGTCCGCGTTGTCCCGCCGAACGAAAAACAAGACGAGTAACGCCCCCACAAAAGTGTAAGCAGTATTACCAGGGCCGTCCTGATGATTCGCGGGGCTCGGGGCAGCGTAACATCGCGGGGCCTTGAATGTCGAAAATGTCACTACCGCGCGTCAGTTGCATATTGGAACTCAAATGTGCGCAAATGATCTTAACAAATATAGTACCTTGCACTTACAACAATATGAACAAGTAAATTAATAAATAAATTGCATAGTAAACAATTTTACGTGAAAAAAAAATGATATGTACATTTTTTTTTTATTGTGTCTATGATCTATGAAAGCAAGGCCTTTCCAACTGTGGTGAGAGCGCGGGGTCTTGGACGAGGGCTCCGCTTGCCCAGCCCTAGGGACGGCCCTGAGTATTACCGATTGATTAATTGCCATTGAAAAACTCATTTGAAATCACGATGGTACGCACGTTTTCAAAACGATCTCAAATACAAATAATGCTTTCGTAAAACCATTGAGGAAATGTTGAATATTGTTTAAAGTTTTCACTTTTATTGACCGTTCAAAACACTAAATGTATCGCAAGTAACTGTATACGTTTTACAGTTGGCATAAAATGTTTTTGAAATTATTCGTAAATTATAGAAACGTTTTAAAAAGCGAAAAATTACTTGAAAAACTCCCACCACACTATCATAAAACGCAAGGAGAAATTTGAATAATGTGACATGTATCCAATTTCGTATTAAGAAAACGGGTCATTTTTAAGATAAATTTAAATATCACGCATTGGTTACATGTCATGTTTAGCAACGATAACAACAATGGTCAATGGCACATCAACTCGTTAGACTTGACTGACAAGAGTAAAAAAGTTAGAGCTAGTACAATTGTAATGACGTCACAAAATGCTAACTACGATCGTCTTCTTGAAAAATGAACACTAATTATTTGTTAATAATAATAATAATTATTATTATTATTATTATTTATTATCATTTGTTAATGCTGATTTTTTTTCTTCTTCGCGTTTGATGAAATCGTTTCACAAATTGATTTTTAATATATTTAATTTTTCCAGTGTCACACATTATAGTATCTGAAATATAAATCGACTTGTTTGAATTTCGTGTTCTCTCGGTTATAATTTGGAAATATAAACGCCAATACTTTTTATCTTTGCTTATAATTATTATTGATTTTTTTTCGCAACGAACGTCGATTTGTCTGGATGGAACGTGCAATAATGATTTTCGTACGGTGTGTCGCGCCGCAGGAGCAAGTACGTAAGAGGCGACTTCGCCGCGGGGAAGATCATGCTGACGGAGAAGACGGGCGATTTCCTGTTGGTGCCGATCGTGGTGACCACTTCGGACGTCCAAGAGTTCGACTTTTCCATTCCCATCTTCAAGTCGTGGTGAGCCTGCAGTGCATGGCAACGCGCGCACACCCCTTCGCCCGACCAACCGCACGCTTTTGTACGCCTCGCGCACGTGCACGTCGTAGCCATTTGCTACCCGATCGATCCTACAGGATTAAGGCCGACGAGAAATTTTGAGGGCCCCGGCACTGATCGGTTCCCGGCTCCCTTTACTTGCACTCGTTTGGCCAGGATACGCACACTGTTTGTACATATTTTAGTGCGATAAAAATATTCAAACTCGCATCTAGTTTTCACTGCAGCGAATGAGATTATAAAAAAATGTTATATAAAAGGCAGAGACGACGGGTCCCGAGGCTCTAGCCCTCCATACCCTGCATAGGGTACACGTAGCCACCGATGCTGTATCGTGTGAAAAGCACTGCGTGCACGCGTACAACATATCGCAATACCGTTGCCGCTTAATGCGACCCCGCAGTACGCTACACGATGACGGATTCAAATATTCGGGGGAAGGGGGAGGGAAGGCATATACACGAACGAAAAATTATATTTTGTTTTACTTATTATTAAACCACGTTCATTATCGTGTTTAGCAGTGGTAACAATTGACTACTTATTTAATAAAAGACAATCGTAAAAACAATCAAATCGAGTGTGAGTCATCGTAGTACTCGAAAAAACACGAATCGCCCAAATTTTCATCTGTATTCTAAAACACCATTCGTTGCCGATGAACGCAATTACATCTGTTATCAGTTAAATAAGTGTACACATAAATAAAATATTTTATCTGTATCTTAATTTGAGGGTCGTACAATTATGGGACCGCTGGGCAGCCCACTCGGCCTTTCTTCTGAACCCGGCTTTGACGCTACGTAACGCACGTACCTATGAACGTTGTCCCAACATTTCTCGAACCCGCTTTTATTATCACTGCGTTTTTCTCCACGGCACCACTGTAGTCGCATTATAAATGGACAATTGTGTCCGATTTTTCGAATCAATTTTTTTTTGCATTGTAGACTACCGGTGATGTATTGCTAAAATAAATGATGGGTATACGTGTTATTTGTTACATTTCATGTAGTAACTATAATATGGCAGAAATCCACAAAACTCACTAATGAACTACATATCCTTATTTATGACTGTTTGATAACAAAAACTTGTTGTTAAATGATAACAAATTTGAATTTTTCACTAAAAAAAAATTAATAATAATATATTCGATACCGAATCACATCATAAATCTAACTACAAGTTAGGTTAGTCAAGGTATTATACAGTTATTTGTCAAATTACAAGCTATACGCTAGATACGGCCGTATACCCGCGTATCATCAATTTCTTATAAGCTATACGCCATGGATAAAAATAGCGTATTGGGTACACGCCGTATATCCCCGTATACCCTCCAATACATCACTGCCGGTAGCATAGCGTCGGTCTTGTGCGATACACACGGCACCGAACGCGGATGTAGATAAAGAACATTTGTTTCTTCGAAACTCGTAGAACCTATTTACTGAACAAATGTTCATATCGTATGCATTTCGCGACATCGATTTCCGAAATCTCTGTGGGGGCACACACGATTGCGCGATGTGCGTGTGGCGAAAATCGCAAGTCGAACCTGGTAATGCAATATATTTCGTACCCGCGCGCGCACTATCGCATTACTCGAGCTTGGAAACGCCGTCGTTGCGTTTGGCGCGTTTAATGACGGGAAAAAGGATTGTGCCCCGGAGTCACCCCGAGTATGTTACATCTCAAGGGCGCCGAACCAGCGACCAACGTTTATAACTCTAAACTTAAAAGTTGTGTATAAATGACAAGACCGTCGAGTTGTGAAATAGCGAGTGATAATACGTGGTGGAGTCTTGAATAATGTTAGCCAAAGCAAATTGTGCTTCGAGTTGCGCAAACCAGACCGCTGGATCTTCAGGCCAAAATGGTAAGATTTTGATGCCGACGCTAGAGACCAGCGTTACGTCTCGAGGTTGTACGTTTCCCATTGTCAAGGGCACCGCTATATATTCTTTGGAAATCTATACAATAATATACTAACAATATTATTTACTGTTGACCTTTAAAACTATAATGGGTCTAAATGAGATTAAAAAAACATACGATGCATATGTATATATAAAAAAAAACACTAAATCACCCGATTACAAATAGTGCTATGTAATAGCCAGCTGGCTATGTATACAAAATCAATATTGTATAACACCATAGCGATTGTTTTTAACGATTGTAAGACAAGTACGAAATATTAATCGAACGTTCGTTGTTAACAAGACAACATAACGGAAACACTGTGGACAGTAAGAGTATAAAAAATTAAAACGATCAAGAAACGAGGCATTCGCGACCACATCACGCACGCATCGTATCGTCGACCACGCTCAAGAATTACAGTTGATAATACCACGTGATAGAATAGCGATGACGAACCGTTCGGATAGAATTTCGACCATCGAGGACGACGGCCAAAAGTGCAGGCTGTTCGTGGGTAATCTGCCGAAGGTGAAGACAGAAAAGGAGATATTTGACGAAGTGAGCCGAATAACGCGCGGTCATCTGGTGCGTGTGATCACGTACAAGAACTTCGACGACCCGTCGATGCACCGGGGCTTCTGCTTCCTGGACTACGGGTCGGTGGCCGCGGCTACGGGCGCCAAGTGGGCACTGTCGAAGCAAAAGGTGTTCGGGTGCAAGACAATCGTCGACTGGGCGGACCCGGAACCGCGGGTGGACGCGAACACGATGGCCACGGTGCGCGTACTGTTCGTCAAGAAGTACGGCGGCGTGCTGGACGAACGCGTGTTGGCCAAGATGTTTGGCCGGTACGGGGTCGTGGAGCGCGTGAAGAACCTGAGGAACTACGCGTTCGTGCACTTTGAGCGGCGTGAGGATGCGCAGTCGGCCATGGACGCACTGGACTGTTTCAGGGACGTGGCTTCAGGTGTGCGTCTCGAAGTCGTGTGGGCCAAACCGCCGGTGGACAAGCAAATGCGACGGCGGATATTGCGTAACCGAGAACGTCGGATACGGAAATCCGCGGTCACGGCCATGAGTCAACCGGTTCGCTATGCCCCGCGGCCACAGGAACGCGCTCCCGGAGCCAAAAAACGCATCGGCCCCGCCCCCGCCGCCACAGCCTACACCAATTACGACCATCGCCGTTTCGAATTCGGACCGCGGCAACCGTGCAACCGGTGCACCCCGGTCTCCACGTTGAACATTCCAATGGCCGAGGCCACGTCCGACGACCGGAACAACAACAATGCACGCCGGCGCGGCACCGACGTCACGAGCACGGACGAGTGCAAAGCGGTTCGCACGACGATGGCGATCGGAAGAAAGATTCCACGAGCACGTCGGACCAGAAACTGTGGAACTTTTTCGACAGAATGTCCACGAGCTGCGCCAAAAACAACTGGCGTCACCGAAGTGTTTACGAAGTTTAAAAGAGTCGACATTTGTTTAATGTTAAAGAACCCGCATTTTACGGAAAATAAAAATAATATAAAAAAGTTGTTTCAAATAATTTACTCAGCATGACGCGAGTGTTCAAACAATTGAAACACGAAGTATAGCGTTTTCAAACGTATATTGAAGTGTCGTGGGTAAATACTCGATGGGTAGATAAATATTTTGGGTATTTACCCGCTATAATATTTACCTACTAAAAATTTGGGTAAATATTTTTTTTTTTTAATCTGGTCAAACTGTATATTTCTATTTTTATTACTGATAGGTATCGATATCATATAACTGATACTACAACCATTGATTATGGATTAGATCTATTCTATAATCAATGCTAAAAATTATACTACTAATTGATCAATACAAGTTCTTTTGTCAAATGTTAATTAGTTTAGTAATAGTTTTTTTTTTTTTAATCACGGGTCGGGTAAAAGATCCTGTGTGGAAGCATTACCATCGCGGTGAAAACAAAAGTGTCCTATGTAATTTCTGTAATAAAATATTCAAATTTGCCAAAGTGAATAAAATTAACAAAAACTTCATAAATATAATTTATGTACTCTAATAGTCAGTCTTGAAAAGACATGAAAAAGTCAGGAAACAATCATAAAAAAGCAGGGATGGAAAACGTTTTTAAAAAACATTTTTAAACGAAAAAAATGAAAAACGAAAACGAAAATAAACAAAAATAATAGTATTATATTATTATTATTTATTACGAAATAAAATATATCTGTTATCAAGAAGTTAATAATTCTGATAACTAATAGGTAATTATTGACAAATAAAATATATTAATAGCATAGCGCAATAATTAATTTTAGTCCACATGGCACATACACATTGCTGTGGTGACGGTAAAATTATATTATCTTTCACGACGACGGTCATGGATCATAGTGTAATCTATAACATAGATGCCACTTCAATTATTATAATATGATTATATTATTATCTATTGATTTTAGCAGTTGATTAGAAATTGATTTTGTTTTATAATTTATTATACCTATTCGTACTCATTATCCTATTGGCTATTATAGTTAATTGTAACAATAACATGACTTTATAGAAATCTAAAATAGTATTTTACTTAACGTCTTTACTCTTTACAATGCACTTTTTAAAAACATTTTAATTTAAAATTTTGAATTTTATTATTTTCGTATGAAAAATAAATTATAATTTTGATTTTAAATTTAAATTTTTAATATAAAGAATAATTAATTATAACTTAAGAGCATTCTTAAATTCAGTATATTGAATATTCATTGTAACTATTTTAAGTTAGGTATAAGAAATAAGGATATAAAAAAAAAAAAAAGTTATCAAAAAGGTAAAACAAAAACGAAACCCAAAAAATCAAAAACGTTTTCCATCACTAAAAAAGTATTGTGATATCCATGGATTGGTTTTAGCATTAAAAATAAATTTATCCAATTTATCGGGTGAAAACCCGGTATTTATCTGAAATTATATTTACCGGGTATTTGCCCATCACTATGGAAAGCGTAACGGATCACAACGTGCGTAAACGATGTTTACGCAAAATCCAATTAGACATAATATTTCACCATTTATGTATATTTAATCAATGTTATGGGTACCTATACC